ATATATATATATAATCTAGTTTCAGTACTTTCTAAATTAATCATATCATTGATTTTATGAGAATACTTTTTTCATTTAATTCCTCAAATTAGCGGCCAGTTTTCTTTTCCAGCTCTCACTATCTATTGTTGGATGAATAATATAAGCCTTTATTTATCATATATTTAATCAGAATGCAAGTAGTGAAGTGTTGATGTGAAAAGATAGTGAATTAATTTCAGATAGATTGTTTCTGATTATACTAAATGCTAAATCCTATTTAAATTTGAAATTGACATTGATAAACAAACCACAATCTCCGATTTCTTTCGCTTGCTTTCTTTCTCCAAGAATTTTCAGAACAAGTTTAGTCTCAAACTGACCAATGTCTGATGTTTCTCAATTCCCAGCTGGTCTTAGGGTCCTTGCAATTGATCATGACCCCTCAGTTCTTGAATTCACTGAGCAAATATGTAGTCAACTCAAATATCACGGTAAGATAATTGTTCACTGTTTCTTGGACAGAGAATTAATCTCTTTTTTTTTTGGTTAATGATATAGTTTCTATGTTGTGGGCAGTTGTCACATGCACCGAATCTCCATTTGCTTTGAATCTTGTGAGGGAAATAAAGGCTTGCATCGATGTGATACTCATCGAGCTTCACATGCCAAACATGGATGGCCATGAATTCCTTCAACATGCCAAGAAGGATATTCAAATTCCTGTCATCGGTGTGTAACTATACTTGCTCTGTAAATTCTTGTGTATAGATTTTGGTTGGAACTTTGATTTACTTTTCAAGTGTAATGTGCAGTGATGTCTGCTGACAATTCTAAGGGTTCTCTGATGAAGGCTGTGAAAAATGGGGCTTGTGATTATTGGAATAAGCCTTTGCATGTGAATCAGTTCAGGAACATGTGGATACATGCAGCTAGGAAAGCCATTAGTGAAAACAAGAATTTTGTCATATTGGAGAATAATAATTCTGAATTTGGTTCTGCTACTGTTATTGAAGCCACAGAAATATTTAGAGACCAAAACAATAGCAGTTCAAGAGAATCTGATGAATCGGAACATTCTTGTCAACCCCCAGCAAAAAAGCCACGTGTAATATGGACACCATCGCTGCATCGTGAATTTCTCAAGGCAGTGAAGCAAATTGGGGATGATAGTATGATTCTTGATTCATTCTTTTTCGCTGTTCATACAGTCACTGAATTTTTCTTTGGTGGTTTTGTGATTCTTATACAAGGTATAGTCTGATTCTTAAATTATTTTTCAGAGGCTGTGCCAAAGAAAATTCTTGAAGTGATGAATATCCCTGGTTTGACAAGAGATCACGTTGCTAGTCATTTGCAGGTTAGTTTCTGCTTTGGGTATTTCATTTTTCATAATTGCACTTGGTTATGACAAAGATAGCATTTCTCTTAAATTTATTGGCATTGTAACTGCAATATTGACTGCAGAAATATAAGCGTCATATGAAGAGTACATCTAATGGGGCAACACAGCAACAGAATGAGATGAAGAATACATCTAATGGAGCAACACAGCAACAGAATGAGATGAAGAGTACATCTAATGGAGCAACACAGCAACAGAATGAGATGAAGAGTACATCTAATGGAGCAACACAGCAACCGAATGAGATGAAGAGTACATCGAATGGAGCAACACAGCAACCGAATGAGATGAAGAGTACATCAAATGGAGCAATACAGCAACAGCATGAGATGAAGAGTACATCTAATGGAGCAACACAGCAACAGAATGAGGTAAAGAGTACATCTAATGAGATGGCAATGCCAAACACAGAATCTGGTGCACTTGTGAGAGTGGACTTCCAATCTTTGGCTGCTCCTAACGATGTTTCCTATAACACATTGACAACCCTTGATACAGAAAAAGAGGCTAACCGTTCCAATCAAGAACAAGGTGTGACACATGGTCATCCTTCTAACATTGCCATTGTCAACAATTTCTCTCAGCCAATCATGGATCCATCTATATATGGAGTGGTCAAGGATACATCGCAGCAGCAGCAGCAGAAGACAATGATGCATCATCAAATTAGTCCTATCAATATTCAGCCATCTTTTGCCACCCAGAATATTAATAATGATTTAATATCACCTCAAACTATTGATGCAAACAACTTAGGTTTCACAAGTGGTGATATGAGATCTTTTTCTGCAGAAGGGTCAGATGCACTAGTTCCCTATGGTTCACAATCTGGTGACTTAATTTATGATCAAGAGTATACCGACATCCTAACTTGGTTACTTGAAGATTCAGCATTTGCAAGAGATTCTACTAACCCAAATTTCTCCAAAGATATAGTTGATCACAACACAACAAATTTGATCAGCTAAAGAGGTTTTATATATAAAGATTCACTGAATACTTTTTGGGGTTTATTTTAAGGAAATTTTTATGTTGATGCCCGTAGCATGAAAATAGATTATATGAATGATTGATCTAAACTTCATCTTTCTTGATATTTTTTTGGGACATTATATTCTGCACTTTTTTTTGTTACAACTATCCAGCATAAGCTATCAACACGCTAACTAGAAATTTGGTATACACTATTATACCCCAAATGTATATAAGGCATTATTGGCTGGAACCAAGTGTTTTTGTTTTTTATCTTCAGTAATTGCTGCAAATATATTTGGGATGACGTTTAAGCTAAATTATAATTGAAATTTGTTGGACCAAATTAAAAGAGCCTTATAAACTAGTTCAGACTTAAGTATGTTTTTAGTCTCTCAAACTTAAGATAAATTTGTTTTTGATCTCTTACATTTAATATTATTTGTTTTAGTTTCTGTAATTTTCAAAAATCTTGTTTTATTCTTTCATGTCACCAGTAATACATCTGAAAGTGACAAATTGAGAGTTATACAGCATCAACCGAGTTTAATGTTATGTTTTCACCAACAGAAATAGTAGTAAGTTTTTGTGCAATAATATTTAACAATTTCCCTAAAAACAATTGAGAATAAGAACTAAAATGAGATATTTTCAAATTACAGGGAGTAAAAAATTCAGTTTTAAATTTAAGGAAGTAAAAACAAATTTACCTTAAATTCGAGAGATTAAAAACATATTTAAGCAACTAGTTTATTATAACATTTTTATGGTTGTAAGCTAATAGCTAGTGTAAGTTATACCACTATAGTTTTTAGGTTATAGGCATCTTTAACTAATTTATTCAATTTAACAAGAGTTAAAATTATTGAAAAATAACTAATATAAAAAGTACATAAGGATGTTGCCCCATTCATGTTACTAATCATAAACTAAAGAGTCTTTTATAAACAAGGTGTAAACCAAATACCAGTTGGGCTCAATCGACTTCCCATCTTCATTCAAGTATTCATGGAAGATGCACCGGGTAAAAGTGTTTAGTTCAGTGTACATGTATCTAGCACTAGCATGATCCTTCACACCCTGAAAGGTTAACAAATTACCCCGTAAATACAAGTTTCAAAGAAAATCAAACACGGATGATATTATAACAAGCATAAGGTTTTGAATCAAAGTACAGATTCATCTCACCAGATTACAAGTACCAAATTGACCATTTGGTTTAAGGATATTGATATTGTTGCTATACACAAAATCATGCCCCATGTTAATAATTGTGCTGGCTAGACTTTGCTCACCATGGTGGTAAGCAGAGGGCTCAGACACAACCAAAAAACTGGCCTACTTTTATTTCTTTAAACAACTTAAATGAGCAGAAAAGAATCTTCCTTTGACCAGGTTTGAGGCCATCAACCAGAGAGGGAATGAACCTTTGAAGATCTGCCTTGGAGAACAATATAAGCTCTATATTGACAAAATCCCTGTGGTTTATATCTGTCCATATTATCACCATGATTACCAGGCTGCAAGAACTGGGGCAGATTTTTCTGAGCAGATTCTCCCAAAATTTCACATCTATCAATCAAAATGTAAAATATTCTAGATTGGTAAACACTTCACACCTCAAAATTACAAATCCAGATCTTCCTATCTTCAGTTTTTTTCTATCTGAATCTCATCTCAATTGCAGTTCCATCTTGCTCATCATCCCAAACAAAGTCTTTTTTATGCTTAACATGATCTCAAAAGCACTCTCTCCCTTCATGAGGAGTACTTGTACCCAAACCCTGTAGAGAGAATGGAAACAAAATAAGCACTCTGAAAGCAGAATGATTCATACTCAGGCTATTAGTCTTTCTTCTCTATGATTCAAAACAAGCACTATGAAAGGAGAATGATTTGTACTCTCTCCCTTCAAGGTTCTCTATGCTTATAAAAACAAACCTTATAGTACTTTATCTTCCAACCATTTGCATTATTCCCCAACTTTTCTCTCTGTGGTTCATACTCGGGCATGGAATAAGAGGACAATATTGTCCCATTAGAATGAAAAGCCTGCAAAGACAGGAAATTCAAAATAATAAATCCATGAAATTCCATAGTGTGTAGAAGTAAACTTTTTTTTCTCAATAACAACAAAACCTACTATCCCTTATTATGGGAGTGGTAAATTCAACCATGAAATATGGAACTTTTAGCAGTGACGACCACAACGAATGAATGAAGTTTATCAGTAGCCCTTTGATGTGGGAACCATCGTGATCCTGAACCACCCATAACGTTGAAACATTAAAATCTCCGTCAAAGGAAAGACTAAAGTGAAGACTATAAAGACAAAACAAAACTTATGATATCTAAATAAATCCACCTGATCAGCTATCTTCATATATAATAAAAGATAAATAATGTCAAAACTCATAAACATAACATCGTTCGAGATTGGGTTAAAAAAATATTTATAAACCAGTAGAGAATGAAGCAATGAGTATATAGAAGAAAAATGAATCGTAGTTGGTTATTTGTTGGCGAGACTAAGTTTGTAACTGGCTATTTAAAGAAAATTCTTACAGCAGTTGTTTCAAAATAGAAACTCTTAGTAAGCGGTTGGCATTTGTGATTGAATTTGAAAGATCATGAGCTTCTAAATTTCTTAAGCAGATTATTTGGGTTTGTGGAAATGTAAAAAATAGCCATCAATTCATCAAAGATTGAAATGTATTTCTTTATAATTACAACTTACAGCCAGGGCCTTAGCAGAATCTCCCTTTGTTAATACTCTAAAACAACCCCAATACCTTAACCTTTTTAAACTCCAGAGCAAAAAATAGAGCCAGAATTATACCAAAGCTACACTACCAAATAACTTTTATAAAATAAACTTTTAGAAAGTCCAATGGATCAAAAGTTCACAAGCTAAAGATCTTGCACCCGTGTGCAACATTTTTAAGAACTAGTACTTGAAAGAGGCTCAACCTTTTAATTCCTATCTATCTTTTCTTACTTTTCCTCTGTATCTCTGCACCTTGACTTTGACTTGCAAAGCCCTTTGCTCCTACAAAAAAGCAAGCAACTTTCACAAAATTCCCTTCATGTATTTTCTCAACAACCAAAACTACTAATCAAAATACATAATTGTTAACACTGGTCAATATTTACATTAATTATGAAGAAATATAAATAGTTGAACACAATTAAGGGTAACAATTTTATCAAACAGTTGGTGTGCAATTTCAAAACATGCAGGAATTACACACAAAAATGGATGCATGACTGTCTAAAGATGAATAAATTGAAGTGCTAAATTAATAACATATAAAAATCAGAAATTAAGGGGAAAATGAGTTCAAAAGACCAAACCCGTTACCATTTTGTGAGAAGAAATGCAAATCTAATATGAGAATTACAAATATAAGAAGAGTTAGTTTAAGAAGAAAGATGATAATTAATAGTTTAATACCTTGTGCGTAGTGTAGCGGTGGTGTTATAGAGTTCAACCAAACCGTCGCTTAGATTTAATTCAGTATTTTTAAATTAAAATTCATTGTCTAAATGGATTTAGATTTTAGACCGGAAAAAACATAAAAAATAAAAATAAAAAAAGTTATATAATTAGATAAAATTTTAAAATAAATTTATTAAATTGACCGTGAATAGTCAATACAGTATGACCGACTCCATGTACTTCGAACTTCGAATCCAAAGCCGACACTTTATGGTTGACACTAATTTCTCGCATTCTTGTAGTCTCAAGATTAGTAGTTTATCGGTTAAATTATTAAATTAGCATCTGAAATCATATGTTATGCTGAATTTAGTTTTTGACTTTAATGAAATTTAAAAAAAGTTTTTGAAAATATAATGTCACTTATTTAAATCTTTTTGTAAAACAAATTCTGTTTTTATAAAATAAAATTGTCTATGTGATACGATAATACCATGGGATATATAAGTGGTATATATGTGAAGTAATACATGACATATATGTTCCATGTGATATATGACTATAAAATATAATATTATTTTAATCTTTGAAAATTATATTATGTCTCTAACATTGTAATTCAATGCTAATTTAGTTCTTAAAATTTTAAATTGATGTTACTTTAATCATAAAACATTGTCATAATTTTATTTTAATCAATTGTTAAGTCAAGAGATGATCCTCTAAATTAAGATTTTTAATGCTAACAAATAAAAAGGTTTTATATAAAAGAAATATATGTGAAAACGTCTTTAAAACTTATCTTTAGGCTTATTAGCTTAAGTGTAAGATAAAAATCGTCTTATAAGACAATTGTTATTCAAATAAAGCATACAATTTATCTCATATACATTAAATATTTATCATTTATTAAGATTAACGATAAAGTTCACTTTAAATGCTTCATTCCTTAACAAATCAATTCAAAATATCATCTTCAAATTCACAAATTTGTTAAAAAGAAGAATCATGTTTTTCATCAAAACCAAATCCCTAAAAATCATGGAGAAAAAGTAACTACTATAGCTACTTTGCGCTGACATTATTTCTGCAAGTTCTGTTTGGTATGGAAAGTTGATAAGTTGAGCTTCTTTGAGATATATCAATATTATGGATCCATTTTTTTTCAACTTCTAGTGGTCTCTAAAGATAATTCATAGTTTCGTTTTAATGTATCATATGTTTAATAATTCTTTTTAGCAATTATGTGTTTAATTGTTTGTGTTTTACACTTTTAGGTTTAGGAATTAAGGTTATAAGTAATATTCAAATAATTATAAGGGTGTCATTTTTTCACTTCATTTAAGACACCAAAAAATTCAAGGTCATTTATGCTTGGTAATGTTATTTTTTAAATAACAAACTGAACGTGGGAAACTAAAAAAATTTCATGTGCCAAACACCTCTAAAAGTAAAATTTAACCAATTATTAAATATTAATTCTAATGTCATTTACTTAACGTTAGATCATGAACATTACACTTTTAACGATCTGCACACGTTACACCTTTAACGATCTACGGATAAATATTAAGTAAGGGGATGTAAATTATGAATTTTATAAAATTGAGAGAATAAAATTATACATTTAAAATTTGGGAGACCAGAATTATGAATTAACTATTATAAGAGGACCAAAAGTGTAATTTATCTTAAGTAAAATATATAGAAACACAAAGTGTCTCTTTTCCATCCCATTAGTTTTCTATATATATATATATATATAAAGATAAAGGGAGTATATTTTTTGGTTTCCATTTTTCTTAATACACATTTTTATAATTGTAACATAATCATTTGAGACTCTCTTTTATTGTTACTTGAATCATGTGGGTGCTTTGGCGAGAGAGATACTCTGACATTAATTCAAGTTAAAAGATAGTCTATATTAAGAATGTGATTAAGGTTATAATAATACATGTTGCCCTTTAAATATGTGCTTAATCTTATCATTAAGCGAGAAAATTTGGTTGTGTGATCTTTGGGGATATTCTTATAAATTAGGTGGAGATAATGTTCTTGATAGTGCAATATCAAATTCTGAGGAGATCTTACCTCATAGATAATAATCACCTAGGGTTTTACTTTGTGGTGTTAGGTTTAAGGCCTATTATGGGTGAGTGAGGTAAACTTGTCTTGACTAAGCTAAGCAAGATACCAGGTCAGGTTGGCTGAGTTGGATGATATATAAGTCCCTCAAACTCCAAGCTCATTTTATGCGAATGAGTTATGAGTTGTGCTTTAAAGGTCATATTTCGCTTTGGGTTGGTTTTAAGGGGCGAGCTTTGCTTGCTTAATTGTAGGAGTAACCAACACGAGGAAGAGGGGCATTCGGTTTCTCAACCACCGACATCACCTAGGGCACCGACTCCCTGGCCTGCCACACATCAGTCACACGCACCGACGAACAGGTCGGCCCATGAAGTCAGTGTTGCTCCTGCCCAGGCTCTAGGCAATCGGACGAGCGTCTGCCGCCATCCTTTTGTGGATGGCATTATGGAGACCCCCTACCTTTCAGCTGGAAACCCCTCGACATCGACCGCTACGACGGCACGACGGATCCGGACGAGCACATCGACCTGTATATTACGCAAGTAAACATTTACACTAATGATGATGTTATTCTGTGTAGGGTTTTTTCAACTTCGCTCAAGGGGGCTGCACTCAACTAGTATACCCAGTAACCTGCTGAGTCGATTGACAAGAAAGCCAAAAAACTTCGAGTAGACAGAACGGTGCGAAGAGGCTTTCAAGAGCTTCAAAGCCTTCCTCACAACTCCACCAATCCTACAGAGGTCGGATCACAAAGCCGACCTCCTACTCTATCTGGTTGTGGCAGAAGGCGCGATCAGCGTAGTTATAGTGCAAGAGCACCAAAAAATGCAGACGCTAGTCTATTTTATCAGCCGAGTTCTCCAAGACACGGAGAAACGGTACCAGACGATTGAAAAGCTCGCACTGGCGCTTGTCACCACAGCTCGGCGTCTCCGACCTTACTTCCAAAGCCACCAGGTGGTCGTCAAGATCGACTACCCAATCAAGCAAATCCTGAGAAAGCCAGAGCTCGCCGGGCGGATGATAGCATGGTCGGTAGAATTGTCTGAGTTCGGCATCCAGTACAAAAGTCGCAACGCTCTGAAAGCTCAATGCCTGGCCGACTTCGTAGCCACCTCGGTCGATGAACCACAGGTATGGACTTTACATGTTGACGGGTCCTCCAACTCTAAGGGTGGTGGTGCAAGTATCATCTTGGAAGGACCGAATCAAGTCACTTTGGAGCAGTCCCTCAAGTTTGGCTTCAAGGAGACCAACAACCAAGTAGAATATGAGGCGCTTCTCGCAGGGCTAAGGTTGGCTCGCGATCTCGGAGCACGAAGAGTGAGTTGCAACAGCGACTCAAAACTCATGGTAGAGCAGCTTAGTGGGACATACCAAGCCAAGAATGTTCTCCTGCAACGGTATTTCCACGTGGCATCACAACAGATCTCGTCCTTCGATGAGTTCACTATACATCATGTACCGCGAGAACAAAATACCAGAGCCGATCTCCTATCAAAGCTCGCCAGTACCAAATGCCCTGGACAGCATCGGACCATCATCCAAGAAACCTTACATTCACCCAGTTTAGACGACAAGGTCGTTAACACCAGCGATGGCGAAGAACAAGGGTAGATGATAGGTATTTGGAATTACTTGCAGGCAGGGGTTTTACCCGAGGATAAAGATGAAGCTCGGAAGAAGAGGGTAAGGTCGGCTAAGTTCGTAATTGTCGGAGATGAACTGTTCAAGCGTGGCATCTCCACCCCTTTGCTCAAATGCTTGACTGCACCTCAAGTCGCTTATGTCATCGAGGAAATCCACCGAGGCATATGTGGCATGCATTCCGGAGCACGCTCGATGGCGACCAAGGTACTCCGAGCTAGATATTACTGACCCACTTTGAAGTCGGATTGCCAAGCCTACGTGCAAAGATGCAAAGAGTGCCAACAGTTCGGTAATACGCATTGATAGCCACCCGAAGCTCTCCACTAGATGATATCGCTGTGGCCTTTCGCCCAGTGGGGAATGGACATCCTAGGACCATTCCCCCCCGCAAAAGGTCAGCTCAAATTCCTCTTGGTGGCAATCGACTACATCACTAAGTGGATCGAGGCATGCCCACTCGCCAAGATCACCACTGAGAATGTATAGAAGTTCACCTGGAAGAGCATCGTATGCAGGTTCGGAATTCTGCACTCCCTTATCACCGATAATGGCCGACAATTCATTGCACAAAGCTTCGAGGACTTCCTTCGAGAACTCGGAATTAAGCACCTCCCAACCTCGGTGGAACATCCACAAACCAATGGCCAAGCCGAAGCCGCGAACAAGGTGATACTCCGAAAGCTCAAGAAGTGGCTAGGGAATGCCAAGGGACAATGGGCTGACGAACTCCCCAGCGTTCTCTAAGCGTACCATTGTACCCCCCAATCAACGACGCAGGAAACGCCTTACAAGCTAACTTATGGAGCTGACTCCATGATCCTAGTGGAAGTCGGGGAGACATCCCACTGACCCCATCTCTTCAACCGCAAGCAGAACGCTCAAGAGATAGCAGCTGATCTTGACTTAATTGGCGAGCTCAAAGATGAAGCTCAAATTCATGAAGAAGTCTGTAAACTCCGAGCTTCCATAAGGTACAATACGCGAGTACGACCTCGCTATTTCCGAGTTGGTGACTTGGTGTGGCGACTGTTAGGCGAAGCACGAAAAGACACATCGGAAGGAAAGCTTGCACCCACCTGGTGTGGCCCTTTCCGAGTTGTAGAAGACTTGGAAAATGGGGCATACCGACTAGAAGAACTCAACGAAAAAGCCATCCCGCGAACTTGGAATGCCACGCATCTCAAGTTTTATTTCAGTTAACTCTGTACAAATGAGATGTGCACTCTTTTCCCGACTCAGTCTTTTGTCCCAAAAAATAGAAAAATGGGTTTTGGCTGAGAGGGTTTTTAACGAGGCACACCCACAACATCAATAAAATGACTCATTCTTTTTCTAGTCATATTCTCTTAACTCTAAATTACTTTATCATAAGATTCTTTGTGTTAAGCCGAGGTCGAGTTCGAACCTTGACACAATTCGTTTTACTTTAAATCGAGGTCGAGTCCGAACCTTGGCGTGAATTATTCTATCTCAAGCTGAGGTCGAGTTCGAACCATGGTACGATTTATCTTATATTAAGTCGAGGCCGAGTTCGAACCTTGGCACGATTTATCTCATATTAAGCCGGGGTCGAGTTCGAACCTTGGTACGATTTATCTTATATTAAGCCGAGGTCGAGTTCGAACCTTGGTACGATTTATCTTATATTAAGCCGAGGTCGAGTTCGAACCTTGGTACGATTTATCTTATATTAAGCCGAGGTCGAGTTCGAACCTTGGTACGATTTATCTTATATTAAGCCGAGGTCGAGTTCGAACCTTGGTACGATTTACCTTATATTAAGCCGAGGTCGAGTTCGAACCTTGGTACGATTTATCTCATATTAAGCCAAGGTCGAGTTCGAACCTGGGTATGATTTATCTGACATTAACCCGGGGTCGAATACGAACCTTGGTACGATTCATCTTACATCAACCCGAGGTCGAATACGAACCTTGGCACAATTTATCTCACATTAAGCCGAGGTCGAATTCGAACCTTAGCGCGAATTATCACATATTATGCCGAGGTCGAATTCGAACCTTGGTGCAACTCACTTGAAACTAAGCCAAAGTTTGAACGTGTTTTGAAATCGCAGAAACGGGCTAAAACTAAGCCAAAAAACTGAATTCCATTTCGCGCGCAAAAACAAAAGGTCAAAAGAAAACCATCAAAAGCGCAGAGACGAAAACACAGGGAAACAATATATACACAACAATTATGAGTTCACAACACGAATCCAAAGAGGAAAAGAAATGAGCAAAACTAAATGAACTAAGCTATTACAAAAGATGGCCTAGGCGGAGGCATTCTCACTCGAGCTGTCGTGAAGGTCGTCTTCCTTCACCAGCTTCCCAAAGCGCAACTCTTTCTCTACATGCATTGCCGAGAGGTCGACCCCGGGCGCGAGCAACCTCGCCTGGCGAGCTACTTTGAGGAATCCCCTCTTGTGCTCGAACAGGACAGCTCGCTCAGTGTCGACGAGGTTCTTCTCCAGCTCCGCCTTCGCCTCAGCCATCTTTGCCAGGTCCACCCTCAACGCGGTGACCTCCTCTTCTTTCCCACCAAGAAGCACCTCATCACAAAGACACTTCTCGGCCACCACCACCAAATCAGCCTTCAGCGAGGTCACCTAGTCTTCCAAGGAACGCACCCGACCCTGGGAAAAACTAGCGAGTTCCTGCAACTCACCCACTTGCGCAGAGTAAGTCTCATTAGACCTCAGAGCAATCTCTAAGGACTTCTAAACTCTCTCCAACTCCCTCCTGGTGGCTTGGAGCTCAGCCTCGTTTTGCAGCTTGGCATCACCGAGAGCAGCCGCCAAGGCCCTATTCTCTTCCTTCATGGCAGAACACGCCCATCATTACACAACTGTCACCCCCATTAACACGCCGCCCACGCGTTACGGAAACAAGGTGACAGTTATGACACATGGCAGTATAGCAAGGAAGCGTACGCGAAGAGTCACGGCTCCCCTCCAAGCTCGGCATTAACTCTTTGACCCACAGTCTTCAGAGCTCGGGGGCTAGTGTAACATTCATATCGCGATGTCGAGGTCTAGCTCGGCATCACAACGCAGGACGATCTCGGATACGCACCTCGGACACGCGCTTTGTGACCTCGACCAAGACGAGGTCCGCTACCTAAATAAATCATAACTGATCTCAAGCCCAAAGCCAAGTAAAACCCTAATCCACACAAAGGTATGTGCATTACTTATACGAGACTCATACACTCACAAACACTAACTTTAGTATCGAAGTCTCTTTTGAAGGTACCACCCCCATCTTGGAACAGCAAACGTACCAGTGAAGGAGGCTCGTCGATCTTACCCAGCAGATCGTCCCCTACGACCGATCTCCAGTAAGAACAGTTGGTTATTTGAAAATTCACATGATCTAGGTCGTTCATTAGGGCTTTATTTTGAATGTGGGTCGTTCATGTGGAGAGAGAAAGAACAAAAATTACCTTTTGGTTTTCCCTCTTAAAAATGGATTTTTATATCTATTCATTTTCTTCGCTTTTTCCTCTTTTGTTCAAAATTGCACTTTCCCTCTTCTTTGTGTTTGCAAAGATTTCTTGCATTCTTGCGATTCTTAAAGTTACATGTACTCCTTTTTTCCTTCATTGATTTTTCATTTCCTGGTTTTGTTTCGTTATGGGGAGGATTCAAATGGAGATGATCGCAAGGGGCTATTAAACAGGGAATGTTACAAGTGGGTGAGGAGTGAGGTAGATTAGTACGAGACCCACCTTGATACAAATGATGCGATAGTGGTGTTGCTTGATAGTTGCGCTTTATCTACTTCTTAGGATCACCTGTTTGTGGTTCGTCCTTGTGTTGAGGATGATCATGTCTATTTAGGTGAGAACATTTGCTCTTGTTCATTTATGTGTATGTACATATGCATCCTTTAGGACATGGAGCTTACTCTTCCCTTTAGTGATTTGAAATGTGAGTTCTTGAATAAGGTTCCGTTTTGCAACATCAATTGATTTAATATTATGTTTTCACTAATAATGATACTACTAGAAGAATTCCATGTAACATTTACTAATGACATTTGAGCAAAGGACAAATAACACACACACACACACACACACACACACACTGAGGACTAAAAACACACACACTGAAGACTAAAAACACATACTAAAAACACATATTTTAAATTTGAGGGATTAAACTAATATTTTTTAATATTTTAAGGACTAAAACTACAAGTTTTTTATTTCAGGGAAAAAATTATATTACACAAAAATTTAATTGATAAATATATATGTTAAATAAAAATTTGAATTAGAAAATAAGTTAAGAGAATCACTAAAGACACTTCTATTAAGAAATAGTTTCTAAAAATACTCTCATACAAGATAGTCATTCTCATTTAATGATAGAGATTATTTATTAGTTTTTATTTACATATAATCATTCTTTTTTAATAATAGAGGTTGATTATTATTTTTTATTTGCACAGTTGATCTTTTTGACTACTTATTTCCTTTAATCTACTATCTTTTATTTTTATATCTAAATTAAATTTGAATTATTATTCTAAAAAAATTATCATCGATTAAAAATATTCTCCTATCACAATATATAAATAGAATATAAAGTTTTGACTTCCATGTTTTAATAATTAATTTGACCTCTTAATATTATAATCACATCTTCTAATTATTTATTTATTTAATTTCAAAAATAAATTTAACTTAAATTTTAATTTTCACTCATTTTGTCGCCTTAATATAAGCAGTTACTTTTTTTATCTTAATATTTTATTTTTGTATTTTTGATTATTTATTAATTATATTTTATTTGATTTGTTTTATATTTTATTTAAATAAAATACATAAAGACAAAAAGTACTTTAACCTTACTAGTTTATCATAAATCTAAAATATAACTTATATGTAAAAATATATTTATTTATTATGAATTAAAGTACATAAAAATAAATATTTATCATGTAAAAAAAACTAAAATAAATATAGTTTCCTTTCTCTTAAAAACCCTCAACAATTTTTTTTCTTTGAGATTTGGCTCATGATATATGTATCTCCTTTTTTTATAAGTACACCTCCTTTATTAATTTTCTAAAAAAAATTCTTTAAATATCCTTAATTTTTTTTTAACTTTACACTTCAAAATTTTAATTTACTACTTTTGTTTTTCACACACTTTTTTCCTTCTATATTTCAGTTTTCACATGTATCTTTTTGTCTTTCTCCAATTTTTTACTTATTTCAGTAGGTAATTTTAGTTCACTTGATTTTTACATTACTCTTTTCTCTCATCATTTCTTTCACCTTTTCATATGCACTCATATCTTAGTACTGGTGTATTACAACATTATAGGTACATGAATCTTTCTTGATAATTTATATCAAATTAGACGTACATTTTTTTTCTTTCAACACTTTCTCTCCTTTCACACCTCCAAAAACTTTAACATTAAATTTAGTGTTTTGAAAAAAGACATTTTGGAACACAAATTTCACTATTTTGAAGTAATATCTGGGATAGTGAAACTAGTGTTTTGAAAAGTATTTTTCGAAATTATATTTTTTACATATTTTTGGAAAGTACTTTTCGAAACACTATTTTATTTTATTTTTCCAAAATTATGTAAAATACCACACTTTTGGAAAACGTTTTCTGGATTAGTAAAGTTAATATTCTAGAAAGTACTACCCAAAAGTATGTTAAAAATCCAATTTCAAAAAATATTTTCACAAACACTAATTTTACTATTCTAGAAAATACTTTCTAAAACACAAAAATTATTTAATGTTTTTTTTCTAGACGTATAAATGAGAGAAGTGCTTAAAGAAAAAATGCACATTTAGTTAAAACTTTCGCCACTATTAAGAAAACTACATATGCCTATAGTGTTGTTGAAAACTAATTTTACATTTCAGGTGTGTGTGAAAACTAAAAGAGAATAGAGAAGATAATAGTGAGAAAACTAAAAGAGGAGAAGGGAAGTGAGTAATGTAAAACTGAAAGAATTAAAATTAACTATCGATATCGGTGGGGGTGGAGAAATGGTAAAGAGATGCATGTGAAAATTGAAAAAAAAATAGATAAAGGAAAAGTAATGAGATGTATGTGAAAACTGGAAAAAAAAAAAAAAGCAAGAAGAAGAATGAGAAAAAAAAAAGTTCACAAATAAAAAATATTAAAGAAAATAAGGAAAAATGCTATGGGCTCAAGCATATTTCAGAAGAGTCCAGACCCAAGTGTATGTTGGGCCGGGTCGAAAGCCTAAACAAAAACCCTAACAAACAGAGTGAGAAACCCTATTTTTGGTTGTTGAGAGAGATACTGAGACATAGAGAGCGCGGCATAACCTAAACCTATCAATCTTCTCTCTCTCTCTATCTGTGTCTGTGTGTGTGCATCAACCACAACGTGAAGCCGCCATGGCCACCGCAAGAACAGTGAAGGACGTTTCTCCCCACGAGTTCGTCAAGGCTTACTCTGCTCACCTCAAGCGATCTGGCAAGGTGCCACTCCGTTACCCCTTTTCTTCTCTCTCCAACATAAGAACATTGTCAACTTTGTTTATCAATTTAACGCCAAACCCTTTTCTCTGTTCCTACTTTTTGGTGCTGTGCGGACTGTTTCTGAGTTGTTTTCGGGTTTATTCTCAAAGTTGGTTCTTGGGATCATGCTGATTATATCTGTTATTGTTTACTGAGATTTTGTCATGTCCATGAGTGTGGGATGATGGTTTTGTTTTCAAATCGGTGCGTTTTGAATTGGGTTGTGTTGAAGTTTGCAGCTTGATCTACTTTGATGTGATTGTTTTTACTTGCACTCTAGGTACTATGAGTAGGTTTTCTGGGTTGTGCTTGGTAAGGAATAAGCATTTGAGCAAATAAACAAGTGAATTGTTGTGGCATAGAGAAATCGTTGATGGTTTGTGTAAGTGAGTGAGAAGCATTTGCTTGTGGTTGGAGCTTGGTTTGCATCTTTGACTAGTGTGTTGCCCTAGTTCTGAAAAGATGTTTCACGTGGTAGTGAATTTTTTTTACTGTAAACAATCTGCTATTGTGCTTTTAGTTGTTTTGGTTATGATTATTTCTCTTGATAATGTGGTACTATTGCTTGTGTTAATATCATGATGATATGATGATTAATTCTCTTCCAATGTATGTCAGGTCCTTTATAAGCTTCTGTTATTAATATTTCATGTTTATTTCGTTTTGTGTGGTTCTAAACAGATGGAGTTGCCAGAGTGGACTGATATTGTGAAGACTGCAAGATTTAAGGAATTGGCTCCTTATGATCCTGACTGGTACTACGTTAGAGCTGGTGGGTTTATTTTCTTTTCTTTTTACGGTGTTCATGTGTTTTCAATTAAGTGTATATGGCCAAGCATGAGACTATGAAGGAAGTCTTTCTGGTTGTTACTTGTTGAAGTTTGCAATAATATGATGTTTTGTGGGCTTATTTCATTCTTGAACAACTTCAGCTTCCATGGCAAGGAAGATCTATTTGAGAGGAGGACTTGGTGTTGGTGCATTTCAGAGGATTTATGGTGGGAGCCAGAGGAATGGTAGCCGACCTCCTCATTTCTGTAAGAGCAGTGGTGCCATTGCTCGTCACATTCTTCAACAGTTGCAGAGCATGAACATCATTGAATTGGACACCAAGGGGTAAGCTTTTCTCTATTCTGTTAGCCTCCTACAGTTTAAATATTGAGGATCATAGCTATAGTTAAATTAGTCACTGAGGAAATTGAAATTAATTTGTTCATTTTTTGATGTGAATATTTGCCTTTGATTTAATTACCCTTTTAGTCTCTATAATTACATTAACTTTATCTTTTAGTCCTTATGCTTAAAAATGTTACATTTTAGTCTCTATATGTACTTTTTATAGTCCCTGTCATCTATGAAACTATAGGGGTTAAAAAGAAACAAAAAATACCATGTGTAGGAAGTTATGAACTAAAATGCAATATTTTTAATTATAGAAACTAAAAGGTAAAGTTGATGAAATTAATAGGATCAAACGGGTAGTTAAACCTTTGTTTTCATTATTATTATTTTTAATTTTTTATTGTTGCATTGCTTATCTATGGGAATTTTTAACATTGATTTGTCTTTATCTCAGTGGAAGGAAAATTACCTCCAGTGGCCGGCGGGATCTTGACCAAGTGGCTGGACGGATCGTGGTTGCACCTTGATCTGTGAACTGCCGATGAGAGCTAGCCTGCTTCCATGAGGCATATTGAGGTTTTGGGTTCTTGTTAGAGAGATGTGATGATAACAGATTATGCTCAAGTTTTGATTTTAGACCGAGTGTCTTTTATGTGTTGGACATGCTTAATGTTATGTTGCTTCTGCTCTTTTAGATGATACTGCCACATTTAATTTTGAGGTGTTTTTGAGATTTTTGAACATTCTTGTTCCTTCTGTGTCATTTACGTAAGAAATGAAAAGTAAGGGTAAATTGGATTAGACTACTCATCATTGTATTATGATGTCAACATACACTCAACAAAGTTAGTCTCAAGTTATCATTCACGTCACATGAATTCAAGTATTTCCTTTGTTTTGGTTACCCATCAGAGACGGGAATATCCGCGGCCCTCTAAAAGAATACTTCATACTATTATGAGTGTTTGGTTTTCGTTTGGAGATGGCAGAAGGCAAAGGGACGCGTATTTATCTGATTAGTTGCAATGTGTTCTACTAGTTACTATATCATTTGGTAGATAAAGAAGAAATAAAAAAAGGAAGTAGGGAATAGTGGGAAAATTGGAGTTATCGGGTTGGAGTAAATAAAAAAGAAGGTTGGATAGATTTTTTAATTATGTATTAAATAAAAATGAAATTCATATTTTAATTATAATATTAAATTATATATATATATAATTTTTTTTATTTATTATGAAATGGGCTGGACATAAGCCTGCTACGTGACCCGAAACTGAGCCTATTAAAAATGGTCTTTGGTTGGATTTGGTCGAGTTAACTGGTTGAGCGGGTTCTTGTAAAGGATTTGTATGGGTTTGGGTCGGTTGATTCTAATTTTGATTATTTGTTTGATAATTTGATTTCTGTTGGATATTACAGTCATGGGGTAATATTTGTTTATGAATGATGATTTATGTATATTATAAAATTGTTTCAAATTTTTACATTATTATATTATTTACTGTTAAATATGTTACTCAGTCTTTTAATAAGTTTATATTTATTTTTTAGATAAAATTATGTATCTTGTTAAAAAATATTGTATTTATATTTTTCAGAACATCCAATTCATTAAAACGAAGCTAATATGTTGTAAATTAGAATTGTCCGGTTTAAATTGCTGATATTTTTTTGTTGTTAAACTTAATTTAAATTAAACCATTCAAAATTGACTTTTTATATTCCAAATTCAAACTAAGTTGACACAAACATATCTAATGAGATACAAGTTTTTTTGGTTATACTTGATCTCTTTTAATTAATTTATTAAGAAATTTAACCAATATGAAGTGATTCTAAAGCAAGTAGTAAAATCCATGTCACCATTAAAATGATACTTTGGTGGACATACATTCACATTAAAATTCTGTCCATTATTTAGTGAATAGATGTCTATTATTAAAAGAAATAAGTGACTTCGTTGAACTCTGATCCAGAATCCTGGAAAGTCTTACAATGCTAGCCTGTACCATCCAACGTAACTATAATTTGTTGGTTTTGGATGAACATTCAAAGGGACAAAAATTAAATATAGATCCTCAAGTGTTTTTGTAGTGACTTTTTATAGAATTAGAGTTTTACTTCAAGTTATGTAATAAAAATTTTCATTATAAATTGACATACAAGTAAAACTGATATAAATTTAATTAAAAAACAATATCCAAAAACATCTAAAGAACTATGGTTATTAATAAACAATGCCATACCATCACAATTTTTTTTAAGGGAGGAAGAAGTTTTAAAACATTGCAATTCAATTTAATTTACTGGCATTTACTAATTTTCAGAGATGCCAATTTGGTTGAGGGCACAAGTTCATTTTCCTGATAAATAGACACTTTAGTCTGCATCTGGTGCAGCAGAAGATGAAAAGAGGGTGGAAATGTGTGTTCTTACCAAGATAAATTTAGACGAATAGCTTATCTTGTAAGATTGATCTTTGGTCTTCTTCGAGATTGGAATGAATCTTGTTAACTTCTTGTCCCGGAATAGTGTTGATACCTAAAAAAATAAACACTCTAACGATCAAGTTAGTTTAGATGTCGCCTATAGTCTCTCTTTTTCTCTATATAATGTGTACCTCTTTTTCATATTAATTGTATTTGTTCATTTTCTTTAATTTTGTAACTGTCACAATTATCGTGTGTGTTAAGTTCACATGTTGACACCTGAATTCGGTATATGAACTTATTATATCACCTTGGCAATATAAATGTTTGATATCATCAACATGACAATAATGTAAAATATATGATCGAACTTATATTATCCAACGAGGTTGGTACATAAATGTATGGCCAAGTTTACGTTGTTTGCGAGGTTGGTATAGTATCCAAATAACATATTTGGTGTAATGGAACCGAGAAACAATGGGTAAAATATAACTTCAAAATACTTCGTGCAAAAATGAGATATGTGTGAAAGTCACGGTTAACCAAAAGTGTTGGTCATTTTGTTGTGTTATCTTATGCACACGTGCACGTACACACATATATATAGAGAGATTGAGTTACTTACTCTAAGAGTAAGTCTTTTTAAATTTATTCCACTAAATAACTCATATTTTATATCAAATTTCAACAATATAACCATTGAATAAAAAATTCTTAATGCATAAACCAAATTTGCAAACTTTTAAAAAATTTGAAATTTATTTGGTACTTAGTATCATTAATTCAAAGTAACGTATAAAATATTTTTATTATTATCCGTCAATTTGAATTGATGAAATGAAGTATTAAATAATTTTTAAATTTCTTAAAAATTTACAAAACTAATTTATGCATCAAGAATATTTAATTTTAATTAAGTAAACTTATTATTGAAGTAAATGAATCACTTCTCATATATATATATATATATAAACTAAATAAAATGAATATGATAGAATGCTAACATCATTATATAAAAATTATCATCCTATAATATAATCAGCTCAACTAAAATATAAAAATTT